TACAAAGGTTTCCCCAACTGCTTCGTTCCTTTTCCTTTGAAGACAATGCTCCGCTTTGATGTGGCTTGAACTTTGCTGCAATGTGATGCCAGCTTTAATAACCATGGTGAGAACCAGCAAATGAAGGCTTTAATTCTGAAACGGTGAATAAGAAGTTTGCATCCAAAATGAGGAATTTCTTACTACTTGAAAGACAGTACAGGTCCTGGTCATAGCTGATAATAAATTACTTCTAAAGAGTTAGGGAGTCATTTTAGCTCTTGCTTGATGGGCAACAGTATTTTAAAGTTGTTTGAGGTAACAACTCAATGTTTTTGCATGGGTATAAAACTTCCTTCCTCTGACTTTTTGTAGAACATGAGTCATTGTCTTGTTCAGCTTCAGTGAAAACCCAAATCAATATCCTGTTTGTAGATTGTGTGGTAAGCGATTAGATGTAGGACCTTTTATATGAACACAAATGTATTATTCAAATCAATCTAATCTATCAAACTAATAATGCTGCTTCACTATTACCTCATAAAGACGTGTGTTGTTAGATACAACCAAGACAGGTGGTTTTTTCTTGGTTTTCCAATATTATATCATGTCAGGGCAGTCCTCAGTGTGTTGGCTTTTAGTAAAGTGATGTAAAGGCGAGGAAAAACTGTCATACTGTAACTGAAGAAGGGTTCAAACAGAGGGCAGCCTCGCTCTGCCTGCTGGGAGGCCTTTCATGATGCTTGACCCCTTTACCTTCAAGTGCTTTAATGAAAAAATAAAAAGAGCATTAGCACTTACCAAGGGAGAAGGAGAAAAATTTGCTGTTAAACATTGAGTAAGTAAACTCTGATGTAAAATAACACAAAGACACACCATTAAACTTTAATGCAAATGTAAGGTAAGGCAGCAGTAGTTGTAGAGACACGCGTACACAAAGACGAAGACATCTTTTCCCAACAGAGCTTTCCTTTGCTGCAGCTCCTGAGGTTAATTAGGTAGGACGTCGTCTGCATATTTGACTAATCCAAGAGTCTGCATTCCTGCAGCAGCACCTCTCCTCTATTATCTAATCTCAAGTTGCCCACTAATTCTATTTAAACTCTGCTGGCTGGCTTTATGCTGTTACTGAAAACACAGAAAACAATGGAGAAATGACATGGCACCGAAACTGAGTTTGGGAATTTAGAGACGGAACATGGCAAAGCAGAAATGAACAGTTGTGATAAGAAAACAATATCATATCAAGGGACTATTGCGGGAATATCAACAGTAGTAGAGTACAGTAGTATCACCAAGCATAGTAAGCAGCTATAAACTCACTCATTGTAAGTATCTCTTTGAATTTGAGTGATTGTTTTTTTTCAATTTAGATGTTGATAAAACTGGATGCCACAACCTTAATGCAAAATCAGGACTTGAAACTGCATATTTTACTAAGACTCAGAGGCAGAAAAATTCCAAAAAACAAGCTAACACACAATACTGCCTTGCAAAGTTGCTACGGCTGACATACTAGCATATAACTGCCTAGTTTAGATACATATTTGTGTCCATCTGATGAATATATTGTAAATCCAATATTCATTCTTTTCAGTTTTAGCTGCAGCTGGACGGCCTCACTGAGAATTGTCAATCTCAAGGTAGCCACAATACCCTACTTTATCTGCTATTTTACTCTAAGTGGGACCATAATTTACAAAATGAACATCATGGTGTACCGAAGAAGACTAGAAACTAGTGAGAACATAAACAGATTAGGAAACTGTCAAAAGTAGGCTCATGTTTCCATAAGACTCAATACTATTAGGCTTCTTTTTTTTTGGTATCACATGCAGCTGCCCCCTGCTGGCCATTAGAAAGAATGCATGTTTAAGGCACTTCCGCATTGGCTTCGCCTTTCAGCTCTGTCCACTGTTTATTATACATTCTATGGTTCCAGTAAGATGAAAAAATAAAGATTAGTGGAGCTTTTCTCCAAACCTATTGTGAAAATCTTGCTAAACCCTGCTTTAATAGTTATTTGAGTCCTAATCCTACAAGTAACCGCCCACACAAAATGCTTGCTACCTGTTATGGCACCCAGTAGTGACACCCACTGTTGGTGTCACTACAAACACATATGTAACAGCCAAAAGAAAACACAACACCTTGTTCAGTTCTGGCCGTCACAGCGAGGCTCACGCACACTGCGAACAAGGTTTACACATTCCCTCACAAAGTGGCCACATATATTTTTTTAATATATGACTTGAGGTATGACTGCTGTGATTATGCATTAATACGGTGTGTTTGTGGGTGTGTGGGAGAGGTGGATTGTGTTTGGGGCTGTGCAGAGTGCTGCTCACATGAAAGACTCTTTGTACAGCAAGTTTTTAATGAATCGGCGTACAGATTGGTCGTTTGAAGGTAACAGCATAGGTGCGTATGTGCGGGTGTGTGTATGTGTGTGTTCAAGGTCGGGTTTGTGCGGCGAACAGCTATCAGATATAGAAAACAGCTTACAGGAGTGTATGGAACATTAGCTGTGTTTCCATCCAGGTAGTTTCATGTGATTAATGAGGTATTGAATTAAAAGCACTGAGTGGAAATTGAACATTTTTGATAAACTTAGATATTGCAATGGCAGCACAACAATTGTTTTAATATGGAATTGATTTGATCAATAAAAATAAATATGTAATAAAAGGCTATAGAAATGCATATGTTGATTTAACAAGCTCACTGGGTGTAGGGCTGGATGTTAATGACTGAACTTCAAGGTCTTTTAAATGCCACACCTGCTATCACAAAATTAGTTTAAAAAGAAAAAGAGAATTGTTGATAAGAATATTTTACTTATGCACTAATGATGATCAGTACCACTCTCATGTATGCGTGTTAAGAGCAGAGCTAAAGCCAGGAGGTTATTATTCAAAATTCTGAAATATTCCTACCAATTAGTTAATGTTAGAGGTGGTAGTGGGTATTTTTTGGTATTTCTTTAGAAAGAGCCTGACAAGCTGTTTCCCCCTGTTATCAATTCATCTACTAAGATAAGATAATCCCCTCTAAGAAAGCAAGTGTGTATATTTCCTCAAATGACGAACACCTTCTTTCGAAATAAGTAGATGTATAAGTGGAGACATGCAGTCAATAATGAGATAATTCTACTTATTTTCAGTTTCCCTGGCAGTAAGTGCTAATAACAAGACAGGAAACACATTAAATATTGTTATCTTGTGTTTTATCAGCAGACAGAAGGAGATTTCCTGCGTTTTAAGATGCTTTTATGTATGTATTTCAGCGCCCCAGCTTCAAATTGGTTGATGTTTGTTTGAGTTAAACTTCTGCTGTGCACCAGTATACTTTGATCTTACTTATGCAGTGCTCTTTGCTGTCTGTCTCTCGTAATTTCCCAGAGCAGCAAAAATAGCAGGAAGAACTAATAAAATAATAAAATAACACAGCACCTGAAGGCAGAGTTCCTCCTAATAATCATGTAGGCTTGATTCACTCAATGACCTCCAGAAAGGTCAGTCCTGTTGTCGCTCTTATGTATAATAATGCCAGGTTTTTAGATTTGCACCAGTATCTCTCAATAAAAGACAAGAGACATTTGCTGAGCTGCACTTTTCATTTTTGTGGTGGATGCTTGTGTATGTGTGGAAATGGAATCCGTCCAAATTTACTTGACAGCTGAGTTGAAACTGGCATTAATTTCACTCCTCGTTGTATCTATTTCTGCCTCACATTTTCCTGCATCCTGTTGTCTCATCCTCTGTCAGTCTGCTCTTTTTAACAACCCATCCTGCTGGTTCTATAGGTCAGCGCTGAAAGGGGTCAGCAGAGCAGGCGCGATCAATATGAACACACACACACACACACACACACACACACACACACACACACACACACACACACACCCTCTCG